ACGAAGAGCAGCATGAACTCTGCAATATGTATCTGATAAAACAGCTGCTTAAGCTAAGGGAAGAGCTCCAATGCCCAAGACAGCATAGACTGTATTTTCCTTGCCTCTCCCCTCTCTTGTCCTCCCCCAACCCCAGCATATAGAATGCTACAAGAATAATATTAAAAGACTTTGAATGAGTAAAGACACCTTCTGCCAAATTTGGTCATCTGCATGTATCAGAGTGTCCCAGAGGCCAGATGAACTAGAAAAGCAGTAGAAAAATCAATTCCACAGACTATAATGAATGCTGGGATAAAATATCTTGCAGTAATTGCCATCCTTTCTTTTGTGCAAATTTAATTTCTCATAAGACCGTTTTTCTTTGTCTCTGAACCAACAGTAACGATTTATAAAATGCTGCATAAAAATATTAAGCAAAATGCCTGTTGATTAAACAAATGACTTCTTTCTGAAAAGCCTCTAAGTCAGTCTTACATGGAGAAAAATATTTAAATATGGAAGGGTGTTTTCTCATATAGGAATGGTTCAGTCCTAAATAAAAAAGTTCCCTGGGACTATACTTGCAAAAGCCAATGTACAAGCTTCACTAAATTTTTGTTCTGCCTTAGGAGGCAACTAAGTGCAGCTAGGACATTAATCAGCTGGTTTTGCCAAATTAATGCAAAAGAGTTACTCATCTGTAAAAGAAAATGCAAGTCACAGGAACTTCTGGTGCCTGAAATAAAAAAAAAAGTGTAGCTGTGTCAAACTGGTTATAGAAGAAAATGAAGGAGAAAGGATGTAAATGAGATACGGAAAATCCTAGAACAACATCCCAAACCAAAGCCTAAAGACAAGGACCTTCAAATGAAGACAACCACTACAGATATTAAAGAGGAAAGGGTGGAACCTCAAAACTGAGTACTTTCCATGTTTTGAAAAACTAACAGTTTCTATTTGCAACAGATAGTTAGCAGCACATTACTTGTGATCTATCAAAGTCCCTCGGCATTGATGCATGATGGAAAAGAAGATTATCAGTTGGAAAATTTACTTCCCTGCTACCTTTTCAGCTTCACGTAATTTCACTAAGGATCTGATTTAGGGCTATATATTATGGTCTAGTACCCGTTAAATTAATTTCACTTTCAACTCTGGGATAAGAATCAAAGCAACAAGAAATGTTATCAAATCATGCCACATCAAACTTTCTTTATACTTCCCATTTTCAGGATTGACAATTATCCAAAAAAAGAAAAGAAACTAACATGTTATTTGAAACTCTCTTTATTAAACTGGAAGTAACCTGCCTCTGACTAGAAATCAGAATTTAAATCTAGAGGTCAGACTGACAGTGCAAAGATGGACAAAGACTCAAAAAAGCCTTCAGCAAGCTGTAGTACTCACCCACATCTTCATTAAAAATTTCACACCAGGTCCTCTCCATAGCAGAGGAACGTAGTAGCAGTTACCCTGTTTATTCCCATAAGCCAAAAAAAAGAAAAGGAGGCCAAGACCTCATAACAAGTGCAAAGGCAGACGAATGAATAGTAACACATTAACGTAGAAGAAGGCAGCAGTCCCCAGAGCACAATGATTCAACACTCCTGCTACCTACTACTGTGGGTTTTTTTCCTCCAAATGCAAGTTATCACTGAAGGGCTGAAGGGGTAATAAGCAGAGGTGCCAAAGTCCTACAGGAACTCAATACTACCATCCACACTATGTACAATTATGTCTTAGGAATGTCTTTTTCCACCAAAGAAGTTCAGTTACTCTATTCAAATACACTTCCATTTCATACTGTGTATTCAACTTGGTAGCTCTTTTGGACTTTTTTCACAGCATGGACTCCACCTCAATAGATTCTCATGGACAACTACTTCTTTTTGTCCAGCCTTACAAAATCATTTTTCCTCCTACTGTGATCATTCAAAATTCAAGTTGCTTATAAAAGGAAACCAATGCTTACAAAGAATCATACCATTTCTTTCCAATAGGTTGAAACTTCTCCCAATACTAGGAGGGTAATCCCACTTTTGAAAAGAAATCATATGACAACTTTACAAACTGAAACACCAAGCACATGCATTACACTTCAATAAGAGACCAGGAAGTAAGCTGGAAGCTGAACACATTTTCTCAGAGGAGTTCAAATTATATAAACACAGCCCTCAGTCCACTACCTGGTTACACCTTACATATACGTATTTACCTCCAGAAACAAATCAGATGTAGTTTTATTTAGTTTCAAGCTAACCTACGTTATAAAAATTAAGAATTTTTTCATCAATCTGCTTCACAAAAATGTAAGATTCTCAACATACTTTCTCCCACTACCATTATTTGATTTCTCTGTTTATACCATTTCTACCATTTAAATTTTAACACATACTTCTACATAGGGACAGCACAAACCTGAATTTTTGAATCCAAATGGCAGAAAAAGACAGAAGCTAAGGATGTCACACTGATAGCCATGTGCTAGCCTCTCAATCTGCTCTAAACTCAATTTACAGCCTTTGTAAATAGCCACAATGGCTAACTGAAGAAAAGGTCCACAGCTTCTATGAATCACCTTTCTATTTTATACTTGTGAGGTTCCAGTTCTATATTCTTAATTGTCAAGACATTTCCACTACACACAGTAATATCTACCTTTAATCTGTCACATCTTCTGTCAGAAGGAAAAAAAAAAAAAAAGCTACATTTCATCACACCCTGTGTGATGATGGAAGTTTTTGGACTCTCAAAGCATTTATGTCAACCATATCTGAATTTTGAACACTAACAGAAATTTTTAACATAACTGTATTCATCAGCTATAGTTTCATGTCTTTATTGTCTAACTGCAGCAACCTCTCCCACACCACTTCCATCTTTCCAGTCTTGAAAAGCCTGTTAAATAACTTAGATAAAGCTTTCTAATTCTTTGTAGCAAAGAAACATTTTTTTCTGTACCTTGCTGTTTGTTGGCACTATTGTATCATCTGTTATTTTCAACTAATCCATTTAGTTTTAATGTATTTGCAAGTCACAACACATACTGGGGATGATTTTAAGCAAGTGATAACATGGATCAGTCAGTTAAGTGAACATGTTACTGAGTTTACACCCCTGCCATTCTTTCTACTGAAGCACTAACCCGAGTTTCCTCCTTCTGCCCAGACACTCTCTTTCATGAACTTCTACAATTACAATTACCTTTAAGACATCTACTCCACCATCATATTTGACTGAACTAATTAATAAGTTCAAAAATTATCACAGGTGATGTCAAAAGTCTGTGTACCAGGACAATGACACACCATAACAAAAAAAAAAAAAAAAAAAAAAAAAAAAAAAAAAAGGTGGTATCTGGAGGTAGGATGATGCACAATCAAGAAGCAGAGAACGGCAACACTATAAAAAGCCAGACAGCTTGCATATATACTCAGTGACTTCAAATTAGGAATCACAAGTCCAAATTATTTAGCTGAAAAATTCAAAGCAATTAATCAAAGGTAGTATTAAACAGCAGAAAACTGAGCAAATATCAAGCTCCCTTTTATGGGCTACCTCTCTTTGGCTATACAAAGAAATTAATAGTTTGAAATTCACCTGATTCACTTGTCTTTAAGGCCTCTTTGATTTGCTGCTTAATTTTCATTGCTTCTTCGGCAGTTAAGTCCCCTTTTTTCAGTGTTACCACTTGAGGCTGCTCATCTTCGTTCTCACTGTCATCATCTGCAAGTGGAAGCTGCTCTCTCTGACAGGAGAGAAAGAAAAGCCATTCTGACCACCACAAATCACAACAGCTAAGGGTGGGCTAGAACTCTTTGGTTTCACTTTTGCAGTAAGGTTAGTAAGAAGACCAGGCACAGCTGTCAGTGCCAGGCCCTCCCAACACGCTTTGCCCAAATGGCACTCCAGTTCTAGCACTGAGACATAGCGTCTCCTAGAAGAAAACAGTACGGGCTCTTTCAATTGAAGGCCAAAACAGTAGGAACTTGGAAGGTAAGAAATTAATTCCTTTTGGTTTTTTCACTGTACAAGCACTGCCTGCCATGCAACACTAAGAAAATCTTAAATGCTTGGGTCCAAATTTGAATCTTTTATGCTGTACTCAGAACAGTGCAAAGGGAAAGGGAGTCCATGGTGGCTTTGTTATTAAAGCTGCCTAAGCAAATCATTGTAAGCATTACTGACACAAGGAAGACCATGTCCCTGTTCCCACTCTCTCAAACTTGTGCTCTGAGACAGAAGAATCATTTGGAATAAAACTTTATATAAACAAACTTGCTGGCATGGAAACCTCAGTGCAACAATGTAAAGTTTGGCAATATTATAGGAACTGACAACTTCATTTTATAAGATAAAGTATAGATAATATTACCATTATCTACTGAAGTTACCAAGAGATAGACAAAATGCAATCTTCCTCAGGAAGCGTAACAGTTCATACTAAATTTACTAAAGGCATACTTTTATCTCAAATTCCAGCTCATCACAGATAATAATGGGCCTCTTTCTTAAGGCATCCTGTAAAACCTTACAGTTAGTGGGAAACACACACAAAAGCACAATGGAAACATAGAAAAAAAGAATGCCCTCAGAAAAGGCTGTATTTAACAGGCTGGCTCAAACCCTACTGCCCCTGCTCTGCCTTCCTGGCCATCACGCAGTTTGCATCTACTGACCTGATGTTAAGATGACAGCAACCCCACCCCTTTCCCGTACACTTTTTACTAGACTCTTAGAACACTTTTTTTTTTTTTTGTGGTGGGGGCAGTAGCTCAAGCCAAATTCTACTACCATGGTAAATACAGAAAGTATTTCTATAAGAAAATACAATTAATGTTAGACCACATTCCACAGAAATATAATGCACAGGGAAAGGACTAAAGAGGTACATTTAGATCACCCCAAAGGTGATCTTTTCTTTTCACATCTTTTCTATTCCTTGGACAGATAATCGAGTAAATAACCATAACATTTACATAACAGTATAACATAAGAAGAGGGTGCATAATATATCAATGGGGAAATATTTTTTCTTGGGTGTCTAATGGGTTATTCCATTATAAATAACAATAAGTACACAGCTTACTCCAGACAATATGCATTTATGATAGTAATAAACATTCCTAAAGGCACCTTAGTTAGCTGGTAAGATTGCAAAGTAATCTGTTCCCCTTTTATTCTTCTATTTCAACTTCCTACTCAAGGGAGAATGATTTACACGATCCTTTGTGATAACACGTTGCTAAATCAAACGTATGCTACAGCAATCTGTATCTGCCTTTCTTTCGTTTGCACATTTAAGGCTGCATGGGCCAGACTCTTAAGCTCTCCTAATTCAGTAGCTGGAAGCATTTCTTGCTTTTTCACATAATCAGATCCCAGCACGTCAAAAATTACTTCTACAAAAACACTGCACACTTTCCCCAGTACTAACTGAAGTGTTACAGTGGAGAGCTAGCTTTTGAACACTCATATTTAAACTAATACATGCAAATAAAATTATATGTGTGTATGTGACAACAATATGCAACTTGAAACTTGGGAACAATGTTCAAAATTTAATATAAATGAGAAAGGTTTTGCAATCAAGCAAAATAGCAGAGGTATGGAGATACTGAATTGAACAACACACTAAAGTTATTTCTATTAGACATTTTTATTTATTCACCATTTTTCCTGCAAACAACTGAGTTGAATAACCTTCCCCCCCCTGCCCCCTGCCCCCCCCAGTCCATACTGCAAGCAAACAGATTTAGGGAGAGGATATGCAAGTATGTGAGTCTCTGAAAGACCTTGATATTTCTGATATTTCCCGTTTCATGATGTGTGTCTATTTTCACTAGAAAGAAGGAGATTCAGGGATGAGCTCAAATCATTTCAGTAATTGGTATTTATGCATGCTGGTTCAGATGGATTATTGTTAGTATGATAAGCAGCTAACATTAAATGTCAAATTAACATGAAATATAAAGATGGCAATATGTTGAAATTTGTACACTATACATTGGAATGAAAAGACTATTCAAAATTGATCCTCCAAGGCTAATAATATATAGCACTCAGCATAACATTTTATTTCTTTCATGCCAAAAACCTAATTTTACAAATGTAAACTAGAGAACTGCTGCTGAGTAAACTACTGCACACAAGAGTAAACATGGACCTGAAAGACTTACTATACAGATGCCACTGAACATATCAGGAACTGAATATCATGAACATGTGAGGAAAAATGCAGAACATATCTGGCTATTCACCTTCCCCAAGATGTTTGCTAAATATATGGCATTAACCAGTGCAGAATAATCGATAGCAGGTAGTTAATCTCATTATTTACCAACAAGGTGTTTGCTGCATTAAAGCACAATACGCTTCCATTAAAGCTTTTGTAGACTGAATAGATACTGTGACAAAAGTCTTCTGAAGCAATGCAAGAAGAAAACCACTGGAAGATGTTATTTGCATTTTTATTTTTTAAGTTTTGTTATTATTTTTATTATTATTTTGAGATTTGCCATTGGAGAGACTTCAGTTTGTTTCAAGTCATGAATTGCTACAGATGGAAAAGGTTTTCAACAAAATATTTTTGCTAGAAAAAAGTTCTGGATAAATGTTTTGAAAAGAATAAAAGTTCTGAACCAGAAAAGCAGCTATTCAACCAGTACAGGAAATCCAAAATAGATTAGTAGCTCTGGCTCCCACATACTATACCAAAGATCAAATTTAACAGATGGAAGCAAAGAATATCCCATGCTGGAGGCAAATATCATTATCATGAGGCTACTTAATTGTTTGGGGTAGAGTAAGGTTTATTCTCTGACCCAACTACCAGCTATTCCAGTTAATTTCTATTTCACTGCCAATTAAAATTATATTTCTAAGATTAAAAAAATACCCCCAAAATTGAAATATAAAAAATTAGTTTGAAGGAAAAATTTTTTTCTCTCTCTTGGTAAAGAATATCATTTTGGTTATGGATACAAAAGCAGATAATAGGTGCATGCAAAACTTAATTGCTAAAACACTGATGGCAGCAAAACCATGAAATCTGTGAACATCACTTTTTCAGAGTGGATTAGTTTTCCAGTTTGAGTAAATTGTTGCAAAATTCCCTTTTGTCCTGAGCTGGACATACATGTAGCTATATGCTACATCTATAAACATCTATATGTTTATCTATGTAAATGTTTTGGCTTGTTTTCCCCATTTTATAATTAATTAGTGCTTTTGTCATATATTTTAAATCTGGGAAAAAAGTCATGTGCCGCTAAAAGTATTTCTGAACTGGCATCATTCACATTGCAAAATAAATATTTGATAATTGACAAGAATGCCAGAAGGAAACACTTTCATGTTAATTACTATTTGTGCTTGATCTTAGGTATTTATATGTTAAGAATTAAAAAAAATATTTTGAAACTATATTACAAGATTAATTCTAAATTACTATTTCCATTCCATGTTCTCTTTCTTATAGTTTGCCTTGTTTATATTATATAAACTATACTTAAGTTAGATCAAAGGCTATTTGTAGAAGTAATCAGGTCTATTTTCACCAGCATCAGTCATGGCTTGTCAATCAATGAGGTCTCTGCTCAAGATTAGTTTCTATGGAAACCACCACTGATATTACTGACATTTGTAACTTTTTTTTTTTTTTTTAAAGCGTGTGACTTTTGTTCTCATTGCTCATTTTCTCTGTACAACTTCTTTGTTGTTTTATTTTGCATACTTTAGGAACAAGACAAAACCCAGTAATAAGATCCTGCATCATGTATTAAGACGTTATTGTTCTCAGAGGTCTGATCTACTGTGAAAATAAAGAGTATATATGGTAAATTATTTCTCAGGAAAACATTTTGCTTTTGGAAGTGGCATCAACAATAGGAAGTATTACAACAGCAATAGTTTAAAGAAACCAACTCATGGATAGAACACAGGCAAATCACATTCTACTGTGCAATAAGCAAGATGTCAAGAACGACAAAAAGAATTTAAGACACACAATTACAATACAATATATAAAGACAATCTAGCTACTGATAGATGATATTACTTGGCTAATAGATAGTATTACCTTGTTGAAAATCTGACAGATTGTGGAAATATCAGAAAAGATTGTTTAAATTCAATAAGCCAGCTGCAAATTAAACTAGACTACGTTGGCTGTGTAATCACTGAAGATGGCATGGTGCCAAATGCGTCAAAAATGCAAGCTATTACATAAATGTCTACATTAGAAAGCATAAAGCAACTGGAATAATTCCTAGGATTTTTCAATTACTTACCAAACTCTTTTCAAGCCTTGTTCAAGCTACAATAGAGTGTTGTTTCAACCTCTTAAGACAGGAGTTCCAGAAAAACTGTCATAACAACAATTCCCCCATTCACTGCCCCCCCATTCAATAAAACTACTCTCCCAGGTTATTTAGGAGCTTCTATATAGAGTTAAGGAGGTATTTTTTGGATACCTGATAGGAATATGTGGTAGTAACCTGTTCTCAAACTTCATATCAGGGCAATAAGACAACAGCAAACCAGGAAAAGAAAAGAAAAATTTATTACTTTGAACTATATGGCAATTGTGGATGGATCAAATTTGATATTGCAGTTTAAGACAAAGTGCATCATATAATAAAGCACTAGAAAGACTGATCAGAAAACTGTTCCATTAAAACATATATGGGCATGTCTGCTGAGGTTTGGAATAAAAAATACAGAATGTTGAGAAACAAGGAAATATAC